AACAACAACAACAATGTTCCCTTGCTCTGTTCTCACAACAGCTTCTTGGTCTAGGTATAGATTTTGTATAAGCATAATTAAATATTCTAGAATATCCATTCTTCTCAAGATTAGCCATAGTTTGTTATGATCTACCCTGTCAAATCCCTTTGTGTATTCAATAAAACACAAATATACATTATTCTGGTACTCTCTCCTTTAAGTCTATATCCATCTGACATCAGCAATAATATTCCTGGTGTCATGGCCTCTTCTAGATCCAGCTGAAACTTAAGGCAGTTCTCTGTCAATGTACTATCATAGTATATCTCCAGAAATAGACATGTTTGAGGAAGAATAGGTTTCCAGAAAAACTGGTCCTATCTACTGTTCTGGGAACATTTTTTTTTTTTTCCTGGCCAATCAGCACTTTATTTTTCTGCTGACACCTGCACAGATGTTACTGTCCATTTTCCTAACCCCCCTGGGAGATGGGGGTGTCTCACCACACCTGGACACCCAAAGCCCAGAGAAGCAGGAATTCTTGTCCCTCCCTGGAATGTAGCAAGCCCCATATCCTCATCACAGATCCTGCTAGGCAGCCCCAGTGCTGTGCGTATGTGATGGGATCCTGTCCCCTGTGTAATCAGAGACCAGGACAAACAAGGGTGATGGTGCAGTGGAGGAGACACTGGCTAGTGGTTCAGGGACACAAATGTTGACCTACCACCCAGGTTTAGTCTCTACTTCCAGAAAAACTGGTCCTATCTACTGTTCTGGGAACATTTTAGTAAATTGAATGGAATGTACCTTTGACTGATCATGTGATTTCATTTACATGTTGTGGACCTGTTGATGCCAAATTCTTACTTCTAGGTATTCCACCTTTAGCTCCTTTGATGGTCCTTCAGCCAATAACGACATTTGTAAACTTTAATTCATGATCCCACATTGTAAGAATGTATCCTATTTTGTGGTCTTGGAGAACTGCTATTTTAATTCTATAAAAGTGGGCATGTCCCCATTTGGACTGTCTCTATATTTCACTAAACTTCACATGGTTTTATTAAAAAAAAATTGCATGAGTTCCTTGTTTTTCAATGCAGTGCAGTATTCCATTGTGTGAATATACCACAGCTTCTCTATCCATCCCTTTGTTGATGGGCATTTAGGTTGTTTCCAACTCCTTGCTATTGTGAACAAAGCTGCAATAAACATGGGTGTGCATATATCTGCTTGGGTGGCAGTTATTTTTGGGGTATATTTCCAGTAGTGGAATTGTTGGGTTAAATGGTATCTCTGTTTCAACTTTTTGAGAAAGCGTCATATCGCCTTCCACAGTGGCTGCATCATTTTACAGTCCCACCAACAGTGAATAAGGGTTCCAGTTTCTCCACAACCTCGCCAGCATTTGTTGTTTGCTGTTCTATTAAATTTTGCTATTCTAACTGGGGTGAGATGATATCTCATAGTTGTTTTAATTTGCATCTCTCTTAGAGCTAGGGATTTTGAACATTTCTTCATGTGCTTGTTAACCATCTGAATGTCTTCTTTTGTGAAGTGTCTGCCATATCCTGTGCCCATTTTCCAATCGGATTATTTACCTTTATCTTCTTGTGGTGCTCAAGTATTTTATAAATTCTGGATATAAGTCCCTTATCTGATATGTCATTACTAAATACTTTTTCCCAGTTGGTGGCTTCCCTTTTTACCCTGTTGGAGAAGTTTTTGGATGTGCATAGGGATTTGATTCTTAGAAGATCCCATTCATCTATTTTATCTTCTCCTGGTTGTAGGTAGTTAAAGTATTTTATGAATAATAAAGTGCTTTGCTTCTGGTGGCAGCTTACAGAGAAAGCATTTACTGGTGTTTCAGGTTACATATTAATAAAAATGGAATGGAAACGATCACAGGTCATCCTTTTCTAGTTCTAAATGTTGGATGGTAGTGCCATCAGTTAAAGCTAACTGAATAAGCTAAGGCCTCTGTGGATTTGATTATCTATATTTTTGGTTAACAAGGACTTAACTGCTTGCACCACTTAGGGACTCATAAAAACATTCAGATGTTTAAGGAGTTCCTCTGAACTCACCAGCACTCCCTCAATTATTGGCTACTTGTCTGATAATTATTTTCACTAATAAAGGATAACTTGCTTTAAATTTGAAGTACTGGTAAATTAGGGTCCCTAGAGACACACTGGAGCACTAGTGGTCTACTGGCAAGAAGCTGTGCTGTAATCCCAAAGGCAGGTGGTTCAAATCCACCTAGGTGCTCCTTGGAGAAGGCCAAGCAGTGTCCTCCCACACTATTACCAACTCTGGAGGGTAAGCTAGGGGTCGGTGCTGACTCAACAGTACCCAAGAACAACAGTGGCATGTTGGTTAAGCCTGTGAGTAGCTGAAAGGTTAGTAGTTCAAACTTACTAGGCCCCCTGGGAGAAAAACCACCTGGCAATATATTCCCCTAAAAATTACACCTCCAAAAATTCTTTGGGTCAGTTCTTCTCTATGTGATAAAGGCACTATGAGCAAAAATGAACTTATTGGCACACAGCAATAAAAAGAATGGTTAATTCCTTCTTTAAATTTTATTTTTCATATAGTTGTGTCTTATAATCGAATAGAGAATTGCTGTTCTTGAATCAATTCTTTGACTATTTGATATTAAAAAAAAAAATCCTGCTAGAGCAAAAGCCTTTTGAACTTCCTTTCTACCCTGATTACTTTGAGTCCGACATATTCTTCTCATAAAAGACAGCTTCCCTTTGTCAACAGTGATACTATAGACCTCATGGCTGCCACTGCCATAGTGGGATGAAGATTGCATTTATTAGTGAGAATACTGCAACCAACTGAAAAGAGGTGTTTTGGAAAAAAGAATGGCAATCAACTTCCACAGATCCACTGACTAGAAACCATGCGGAGCCCAGTCCTATCCCAACCCCACAGGCCATGACAAGTTGAAATGACTCAATGGTGACTGATTTTTAAATATTTTTATGTGGTTCTCCCTCAAATGATTCTCTCTTTACTCATAAGCTTAAATTTATCCCTTTTCATGGAACAGATGAAACATTTATTTTTTCCTTCTCGTAAAAAGCTGTAACGTGTGAAGTTCTTTTTCTCCTGATTCACATCTGCTTCGTTTTCGGTTGCTTGCTTTCTTCTGGGGAGCCCTGGTGGCAGGGTCATCAGGGAGGTGTGCTGCTGACCTCAAGGCTGAGTCTTCACAGCCGTTAACCCGCCAGGTGCTCTGCAGGAGAAACACAGGCAACGCACTTCTGTGTGCTGAACAACCTCAGAAACCACTGGAAGGTCAGCTAGGAGTTGGTTTCGATGCAAGAGCGAGGACAAAGAGATTTCCTTTGGTGTTGGTGGTTTTTGTTACGTCCCCCTTTTTACAATGAGTGCTTTCAATTTTTTAAATTGTCATTTGTGTGAAATTCTTTGAGGCAAATTCCTTCAGAAAGAAGATGTATATGCTTCTGTAAGGTTCTTGGAGAAATCTCCAGTGCAGAATATTTAAAATGAAAATCTCAACTTGGTTCTTTCATTATTTTTTTTCTTATTCAACAGAGCAGATTTCCTAGAAGATCTAGCTTTCCCCCCCCTTTAATCAATGATATGTTTTAAGACAGGATGCTTTCCCTGCGATGCCCCAGCTCAGGAATGGACCGGGAGGTTTTTTCCTACTTTATCCTTGTCCTAGGAGTAACTCTGTAGGACCCCGACTTTAGTCAGGGGACATGGCAGCCTATGGGCAATTCCACTTGGAAAGAACTTTGAGTTTTAGCTAGATGAGATCCTCACGAGGAAGCAGGCTTTATTTCAGTTGGTTCTCTTTGATCTTTATTCCCTCACCTGCATTTTCTATTTTTCATAGTCATGTACACATTAATAAAATGGTTTAAAATTTTTATAGAACAGTTACAGTTGTTTTTATCAGGAAGGTTGTTTTAGTTTGGGTCGCAAGGTGCCATTCTGCCAGAGTAAGAAATTACACACCATTATCTTCTAATATTATCCTTTTTCACATACAGCATACACATCAGAACCTTTGTGTTTTCTACTGCATTTACACACACACACACACACACACACACGCACACACACACACACACACATTCTCTCTCTCTCTCTCTCTCGCGCGCGCTCATAAATCCCCATGCATCTACTGCTTGAAGAAGACTTCTGGCTACATTACAAACATTACAAAAGAGGTAAATAAACACTAATTACAGGATAAATGAAAAACTAATAATATTAGTATTACAAGATAATAAATAACAATAAATAACTAGGTAATGAGTTAAGCATCTTAATTTTAGTAATAATGCTTTGGCCTACAGAAACTCGTACTTACTTTGGAAGGAGAACCATCGGTAATTTTCACCAACTGCCAGAGAATTGAGTAATGGGAACACTGCAGCGCCTGTACAACTATCTGCATCAAATAAGGAAGAAAAGAAATTAACGGAAACAATTCAAACAAATGAGAAATAATTTGTTTACACAGCACTTAAAGAGTAACACCGAAAGTAGGCTTAACAAAATCTCAGGTCCTAATTTTTATGGATTTAATGAAAATGAAAAATACTATTAACTTTAACATCAGACAGTACAGATATTTAGAGATTAAAGAAAAAAGTAGAAACACATGGACCCACGTAACTTTTTGTGTTTAAAAGAAAAATATACTGTTATAAATATTTCACCTGCTTGCAATTTATAAAACTTTTATTACTGAATGATGTATTTACATTACTTAAGGTACTTTTATTGTGAAATGTAACAGTCACAGAAAAATACATGAAATAATATAATACTAAATTAATTATGAGGCAAAACTCTACTGTGTAACTACATTACCAGCAACTGCTCTCAACACAATCATCATTCTTTAAGGGAAAATGGTCATTTTGATTTATATGGCAACTGGTATATTTTAAATACTAATGTCTAGATCCCTAAATATTTTGCTAAATTGTATTATTTCAATAGAATCAGGTAATATGCATTACTTTGAGTTCAACCTTTTGCTTAACACTCTTCTATATTTCCATTTATTTCAGCTTTATTGAGATACAATTTACACATTAAAAATACATTTAACTTAACAATGCAATGGTTTTATTATAGTCACACTCACGCACGCACACAGACCTCTGGTGGCTTAGTGGTAAGCAATTGCACTCCCAACCCAATAGAACTAGACTGAAATCTACCAGCAGCTCTGTGGGAGAATGATGGGCAGGCCTATCCTCTCCTGTGTGATTTACTGCTTCTGAAAACAGGTTGGAGAGTCACATATGGGTCAGTTCTCATTGAAGAGGACACAACAACAGCACAAAAAACAACAATTCTCTTTAGTTTCCCACTTCCTGTCCCAAGCAACTCCTATCTACTTTTGATCTCTTTGTTCTTAACATTTCATAAGAATGGAATCACACAGCATATGCATATCATCTTTTGTTAACAGCTTTTTCACTAAAGAATAAAGGTTTTAAGATTAATAAACATTGCGTCAATTGTTTATATTTTATTCCATGTATGGCCAAATATTTTATTTTATTGTTCCTCTACTGAGATAACACGTAACTGATACAATATTCTCCTTTGCTACATACAGCTACTTGTCTTCAGTAAGTTATCAATGCAATAAATTAAAAAGTCACAAGGATGACTATTCAGAGAGTAAAAGAAGACAAAAGACAGAAAGTAGAATGCTAGAGGGACTTTTAGCTGATTTTACTTTTAAAACTTGGGGTTTACAGCATTTACAATGTCTTCAGTGCGTTTACTCAGCACTGAAAGAAACACATCAGAAGTAGAGGGATGAGTGGTGCTGATTTTGATGCACACGAAGGGAGTGATGCCAGGGTTTCATTAGCACAATTAAATGATTCATGTCAGAATGCCAGAAACCAACCTACAGAAATACTGCCATGTAACGTCTACTCACTCACTGCCTTTGGCTTAGTAAACACTAATGCCTGGCCCCCTATAGGACTTGAGGCTATAAATGACAAAGGAGCAGAGTGATCACCTTTCTCTGACAGAGATACTGGTGGATTTGACTGCCAGAAAGTCCTATTATGAACTTCAGTATTAAGGAAATCACTTTACTGTGTTGAAATCTTTCTCAGTGACGCTGTACTGAGCTGTCTTGAGAAGTCTTCTGATAATATTTAAGACTGCACAGTGGCAAAGAGGTTTGAGCAGAAGGGAAAGAAAAGATTTTTTTTAAAAAGCCTCTTGAATTTAAAATTACTTGAATTGTTAAATAGGAAAAACAGATAGTAATCAATTGGAAATTAAGATATGGGGAAAAGTAATGTTGAAAATTATTTATGGGTATACTGATCATTCTAATCATCACAGATAAAACTTCCTTTTCTTCTACTTTTCTACTGACCAATACTGTTTTCCAAACTGTGTTCCATAATTTCACATAAATTTCTTGTTCATGAGAGAAGAAGAAATACCTGGTCACACATAGTATCTATTTCAAACAGAGCACTTGGATTTTTATTTATTTATTTATATTTTTTCACATAACATTATTTTTCTTAAGCTTACTTTTAAAAAAGAGTGCCATTTCATTAGTTTAAAATTATTATTACTAATAATAATGTTTCTAATTAACCAGAGCAATTTACTGTCTCACATACAATGAAAGCATTCTAGCCAATCACAGCTGTGGTGGAGTAGCCCACAAAGAATTACTCTGCTGCTGCTAATCTAAAGTTGGTTCCTTTGGAGGGTCAAGTCCACCAGCTGCTTCACAGGATAAAGACGGGCAATGTCCCTCCATGTGATTCAAAACTCCAAAAACCCACTAGAGGTTCAGCGATGACTTGGTTCTGGTTTGAATACAGGTGATTTTTGAGAGATATCAGATCAAACTCTAAGAAAGAAAAAAAAATTCCAATTCTTCTTTCTGAGCTGGACAGAAGTCATTATGACACTGTACTATTCCAGCAGTGTTATTCTAACTTGTCCTCATCTTTCTGTAGAGATGAAATAAGTATAAGTACTATGTTTGTTGCTGTTACGGGGCATTGAGTTGAGTACGAGTCACAGTGACCCTAAGAATGATAGCCTTTAACCCTGCCCTATCCTGGGCCATCAACACCACCTCTAACATTGCTATTGTCACCGTGACAATTCATCTTGTTGAGTTTTCCACTCTTTCTGTGATGTTCCACATTTCAAAGCACCTTTCTAGTGTTTTTTTCCAAAGACTGGCCTCTCCTAACAATATGCCCAAAGTATGTGAGACGGAGTTTCATTCTCATCATTGCTAAAAAAGATACTGGTTGGCCTTTCTCTAAGACAATTTGTTCCTTTGCCAGTTTAAAGGACATTCAGCACTCTTCTCCAAAACAATTCAAAGGCATCGATTCGTCTTCTACCATCCTTATACACTGTCCAGCTTTCAGATGCACAGCAAGTGACTGATGAGACCCAGTCTAACTCAGCCACAGCTTAAGTCTTCAAAATGACAGCATGAATCCTCAGTAACTGGAGGGATCTCCTAACTGCTGATCAAGGGCATTAAATGTGGATCCAAGTAGTAAGAAGAAATCACCAACAATTTCAATTGTTTCTGTATCAATCACAATGTTGATTACTGGCTCTATGGTGACAATTTTTATTTTCCTAATGTTCTGTTCACTTGCTGTGCATCTGAGAGCTGGACAATGAATAAGGATGACAGAAGAAGAATTGATGCCTTTGAGCGGTGGTGTTGGAGAAGAGCATTGAACATCCCATGAACGGACAAAAGAACAAACAAATATATCTTGGAGAAGGTGCTCTTTGGAGGCAAAAATGGTGAGGCTTTGCCTCCGATACTTTGGGCATGTTGCTAGGAGGGACTATTCCCTGAAGAAGGACATGATGCTGGGAAGGGTGCAGGATCAGTGAAAGAGAGGAAGATCCTCTGCCACAGGGACTGATGCAGTGACTGCTGCAATGGGCTCTTGTGTGTCAGGAAGTGTGAGGATGGTGCAGAACTTTTGTTCACAGGGTCACTGTGAGTCGTACTCGATTCAACAGCATCTAACAACAACAACAACGTTGAGAAGTAATCCATATTGAAGGCTGCAGTCTTTGATCTTCTGCAGCAAGCACTTCAACTCCTGCCCTCTTACATCAAGGAAGGTTGCTTCATCTGTGTAACAGAGTGTGATGATGAGTCTTCCTCAAATCCTGATGCCACATTCCTCTTTGTAAAGTCCAACTTTTCTAATGAATTTCTCAGCATGCAGACTGAATAGGTATGGAGAAAGGATACAGCCCTGATGCACACTTTTCTCAATTTTTACATGACGTGTTCTCTTGTTTGGTTCAGACAACTGCTTCTTGGCCTATGTCTAGTCTAGGTTTTATATACACACAATTAACGTTCTCCTCAATGATAGTCTTAACCTATGATCCACAGAGAAATACAGAAACTGAAAAACTTGAACAGATTAGTCTTCTAACCCACGAACAACACATTTCTTCTGATACAACAAACACTGGTCTAAACCTGAAGGAGGTCTTCGCCAAAGAGATGAAGGATGACAGAGGACATGAAGAGATGCTCAACTGGACTAACACTTGGTTTGCAGCGCAAAATGCTACCACCTACATGTAGCACCAGAGCACCTTGAATTTCATTAACATTTACAGTGCTATACCCTAGAGAAATTCCAACTCAAAGTGACAAAGGAAAACTTCCATGGGCTTCCTCAGCTCTTGTTTTTACGGGAGTAGACTGCTAGGTCTTTATTATCAAGGTGATTCAAACACAACCACAAAGAACTACTACAGTTAACTGGATGGCTAACATAAAGAAACAGTGACAATGTCAAGGGCAAGTGAGCTCTTAACTGGCAGAAACAAAGGAAGGTATGGACGCTCTATATGTGTTGATGGATTCTCACAGGTTAAACACACATTTAGGGTTGGAATTATACTCCTGGGCATTTATTTTAGTGAAGTGAACTTATGTTCACACAAATATTTGTATATCAATGTTCAAAAGCTTTAGCTATAACAAGCAAAACCTGAGAACATTCAAATGTCCTTCAATTGATAAATGGCTAAAATAAACTGCTCTATCTCCATCACAGACTACTAATCAGCACCAAACAGGCACAAGCTATTGCTTCACTCAATGACTTGGGTCAACCTTTAAAGCATTACAAATTAACACTTCTTAACATTTCTTTCTCAGTGAAAAAGTCAGTTGCAAAAAGTGACATGACAAATTATTTTACTTCTTTCACATTGTAAAAATGGACGTGACTACGATGATGGAAACAGACTAAATGTTTTTAAGGGTCATGAGGTAGAGTGCTCTGGTGTCCTAGTGGTAAGGAATAGTACTGCCAACTCAAGGGTACATGGTTCGAATCCACCAGATGCTTTTCAGTAGAAAGGAGGAAATCTCTTTCTGTGTGATTTACTGCCTCTGAAAACCTGGTGGAGGGCCAGCTCTGAGTCAGTTCTGAATCAGTGGCACACAACAACAAAAACCAAGCATCACGAGAGGGATGAGAATATGATAGTAAAAACCATAAAAAGATTATGAATGAAGTTTCCGCAGGGACAAAATGATTCTGTTCTTTGAATGTGGAGACTGCATAAGTCTAAAACAATAAGGCAAGGTATATAGAAACAAGAAGTCAATCAGCTAAAGAACCTCAACTTCCATGGCTCTGGGACCTAAAGAACTAGCTGGTGTCCAGCAACTACTGCTGACCATTCTAAAAGGGGCCACACCAGATAATCTGAATGGAGTGGGGGAAATGTGGACCCAAACTCCAAACATAAAAATAACCAGGCTCATGGGCCAATGGGGACTGGTGAAGCTGCCCAGTCTATAGCCTTTATGTACACTTTGAACCTGGAACAAAATACACTCTCCCGTGGTTCAATTTGCAACCAAACAGACATGGCTTTAAGATGAACAATTAATACGAAGGACTTGTTCACTCCTTAAAATAAACAACCATATAATATCGAAAGGGAAATATTTGCTCACAGATCAAACTCAGAGGGAGGAAATGGTAGGAAAGAAGGATTAATGGAATCACAGAGACGAAGTAGGAAGATTGTGGTTACACTGTGTATACTGTAATTAATGTAAAACAGTACATGTACAAATGGTTGAATGGACAACCAATTAAGTTTGCAAACCTTCATTCTAAACAAAGAAGCAAAATTAACATAACGACTTACTTTGCCTACTCAGTTGATTGGCTGTATTTAAAAGAACCAATACTATAGGAGATTTTTAGAAATGCTTTCTGTTTTGCACCTTTATAAACTACTTATGACCATCATATTCACATATATGAATATATGAACAAATGTACAAGTATATATTGATAATCCAAATGTCTAGAACTGAAAATGCTCATATAAAGGTATATCCACTTTTAATTTTCAAAGAGAATGACATATTTCCCAAGAGGTTATGCATTTTATCAACTCATGGGCACAAAGGTATCTGAAAGTATGTGAGATTTTTTTTTTTAAAAGCTGTATCAAGGGTTCTGTTACACACAAATAGTTAAGAATTACCGGAATAGAGCCTAGATTGGGTAGGAAGTGAAAGTGAGAGTAAGATAAAACATATGGCTGTAGTGATATACAAGAGAAAATAAAAGAGATGAACCTGAGGGGGAAAAAAAAGACAGAAGAATGGGGCTTACAGAGTGATAAACTATTTATGAGGTAGAATTCATGAAAACATTAAAAGGCTCTTGAGATTAAGGACTGCTTTGATTATATCATCATCTCCCCAGGGATGTCTGAGTGGATGGTGATGAAGAAGAGGGAGGCAGCAACTTTGATGTATTTTTTTACCTCAGACGCTAAACAGGTAAATAATGAATAGGGAAGTTGTAAAAGATTTTGATACAGCATTCTCAAGGAAAATCCAAAAGTGGGTAACTGAAATAATTTCCACTGAAATAATTTCCATGCCTAGTCAAGAAGATAAGTATTATTTCTTAATGAAAACATGGTAAAGTGAGTTATGATCTATCTGTGAACAAGAAACGATTACATTAAAAAAAACTAAAGTAAAATGCAAACAAACCCCTCATTTTTGTCAAGCTGGAACCAATTAATAGCTTACACTCTGTAGGGTTGTAAATGGAACAGGAGATTTGTCCATTGTTTTCCTGTGGGGTTAGCTGATGGCTTTCAAGCACCAGCCTTTTAGGCTACAGTGCAACTCCCTACAGACCATGCCACCAAGGTCCTGAACTGTGTTCCGTAGTGTTAGTTCACAAGGTGAGTACCACACTCGAACCTCTCCCAAAGGAAAGGACATAAACAAGAATAAATAAAGAGACATAAACCCCAAGAGTTTAACATATATTAGAAAGCAGGAGAAGAGAACAGAATTGCCAGAGAAATCACACAAAGTGATGGGAGTTAGGGGTGGTACAATGGTATTGTCAGGAGGTGGGAGTAGCAGCACTTTCAAAACCAGTTTTACAAATACAAGATCAGTCCAAGGATGACCTTAAAGAGATGGGGGGAAGATCAGATATATACCTATTTCTTGTTGTGTACCATTGAGAGTCGGAACTGATCCATGACTGACCTTCCAGTGGGTTTTCTGAGGCAGTTAATTAAACAGGAGGAGATTCTCCATCCTTCTGCAAAGCAGCTGGTGGATTCAAACCACATGTATTTGGGATTGCAGTGCAGGTTCTTACCAGTAGACCACTAGGACTAGAGCTCCCCATTCACCCATTACCTATTAAATTTATCAATAGTGAATCTGCACAAAGCCATAAGAAGACAGGAATTTATGTACTTTTTGTCATTTTTCTACCAAAACTGGGAATCCAGTTTGGAAATTGCCTGTTGGCCTAGTGGATAGAAAGGTATGCTACCAAGCCAAAGGTGGGTGATTTTAATCTGTGGCCCTCAGGCCTGCTGTTAATTGGTTTTGGTCAAACATTCTTCAAAGTGGTATGGCACTGTCTGTCCATTTGCTGGACAGAGGTAACTCGTGGTTGCTGTGATGCTAAACACTGTGACACTGATGTGTCAAATGCAATAATGGTTATCCATGATGGACAGTATTTGGTGGAGCTTCCTTATTAAAACAAGCTTAGAAGCAGGAGTGCCATCCTTCCGAAATAGCTTGCCTCCAGAAACTCTATGAACCTGGAGAAACGATGAAAGTTATGCAAGTGTTCAGGTCTTTCCTTCATAGCGCCCCTATGGGTAGTCTAAGACTTGATGGCACATAACAACAACAACAACTACCACCACCCAAAACTGGAACTCTGGTGACTTAGTTTAAAAGAAACTGCAGTGCTGATCCAAAGTCAAGACAGGCAATCTACCCCCTCAAAGCTCGGTTAGGCGTTGTTTGTGACTCAATGGCAATGAGTGAACAATACATACTCTGTTTGAAGTACTATTACAATGAATTCTGAAATGTGGGAACATAGGAGTTTGTCTGAAATGAGCTCCCTCTGACCAATTTGCAGTTATCTGAGCACCAAAATAAATGAACAACAATAACCAAATACAGCCTGAAGAAGAAAACAGGAGTCCAGGAGTCAATATGGACATGGAATTAAACAAATTAATAAAGAAATAATCAAATAAGTAAGTGGAGAAAGGAGCATTCTTTCTTAGAATGTCAACAAACAAATCTAAAGTTAGACAGTGTTAGAAACCCACCATTTTGTGACAGTAAGTGAGTCATTAACTACTATTAAAATTATGTCAAAGTACTAACATTATCACGCCAAAGTATGCTAAACAGTACTATTTATGTACACAGAAAAAAACCTGACAGATTCTCAACAGAATCCTCCTAATCACAGCCTTTTTCTGACTGTCCAAGGCCTGGACTCCTTCCTTCATCACCATATACCACATATATGGAATTCTCATATACTTCTAGTGGGATTGTAAACTGGCAACCAGTACAGAGAGAAGTCAGCCACATCCTTAGAAAACTAGCAATAGAAACATCATTTGACCCAGCAGTCCCACTAGTACGGATGTATCTTAAACAAGTTAGAGCTGACACCTATTTACTTCAGCTTTATTTACAATATCAAAGAGGTGGAAACAACTGGTTTCTATCAACATTAAGAATGGTTATAAAACCCAAACTAACTGTGGTATATTAACACAATGGAGTTTTTCTAAATAACTAGCACAGATTTGTGAAATTCTGAACAACATAAATTTTGCTGAGTGATTTAAGTCCGTCACAAAAGGACAACCATGAAACAAGGTCATTACTATAAAAAGCTAAGGAGAGGTTTATATACACCTAGAATAAAACTTAAGAGGGTTTACCAGGGATAAGAAGAGAAGAAAAAGAGAATAAAAATTAATTAATTGGTAAGTTGGGTGAAGGCAAATGAGAGCATAGTAATAGTTGGATTAGAAGTTGTAACAAAACAATCACATTAATCAATTATAATTAATGCTGTAAAACAAAATGTCAATGAATGATTAATGAAAACCCAGCATGATTTATAAGCTTGTACTTATAAAAAGAAGGAAACCAAGATTATAAATTAATTTCTACCTGTTCTGGCATTGCTCCATGCTCAATTCCAGTCTTTAATAATCTGTAGCAATTACCAAACAGATCCCATTTTGTGAGATCATGAGCACTAAGTCAAAAGAAAACAAAAACGTATTAATATCAGACTGCAAAAATGAAAAATTCATCCACAGGTAAAGGAGTAAAACAAATTGATTATCTAGTAATGTAACAACAAGCAAAAGGAAAACATTCAAGTGCTCAAACTTGAAGGAAAAAAAAGGCTGATTTAAGAAATGAAAATTAGAATAATAGAACTATTTCTTATACTTAAAGATTAAAATCATAGTTAACCTAACATCATATCCATATGTAGGTAATCTTTCTAATATGTTTTAAACTACATGTATATTTGTGAACAAATATTTTAGAGATAAATCTAAAACCAGGCAGAGTAAACATAGAAATGCTCAGTTTCGTGTACTGTAGATACTATATGGGTCGAGAATTTCCCAGTGAGGCTAACCCTGTGGTCTTTGAAATTCTCATGAATTCTATTTCTGAACACCATCTTTGACACTGGCTGACAACTTTTATTTTTAATCCAAAATACTTCTAGAAAAAAGTTCTTTTCTCTATGGATGACCAACAAAATTGCTTGTGTATAACAAAAAGGCTCAGAAGATAAAAATGGCTTTTGAAATTTAAGTATTCATTATTATAAAGGCTATGTACAAACATCCTTTGACAACAAAAATTCCGTTTTACTTTCTTGGCGGAAAAAAGAAATCTAGTCCATTATAAGAAAAAAATGTAGGCTGCCCTTTAAAATGCACCTTATTACACTGCTCTCAGCCATAATCAAATATGGCCTCGTAAGCATAATAAAAAGAAAATTTTCAGGAAAAAGCTCACAAAAATATCTTTCATTTCATTTCCTCCAAATCTTGTTAGCAACATTTCTAAACGCTTTAAATTGATCATTGTACCAATTAAATTTTAAAGAATAAGCCAATCTAATTTGGTAAGTAATAGTGATTGTCAAACTCTTTTTTTTCCTCCTTGTTGTGTACTGTCAAATCAGATCCAACTGGCACAGGAGGAGATTGACCCTCCTTCTCCAGCAGAGCATCTGGTGGATTCAAACGGCATGCTTTTGGGATTGCAGCACAGCTTCTTGCCACCAGAGCTCCCTGACTGTCAAACTCTTACGTATAATTCGTGTACAGAAAGATGTACATTTTTTTTACATAATAAAACAATTCACCTGGAGGAAATTTGAAAGATAAAAAAAAAATTAAAATCTTTATATTCCTCTAAAATGTCCTAGTGCAACATGGACATTAAATATTATAAAGATAATCAGTCCTTTACTGTTGCTAATATATATTAATTAAATCTACTTTCATTAAAATCACCTACTTGTGAAAAGAAGTTAACCGTTTTAATGTGGAAAGAACATTATAAATATCATCATCATCAGCTTCTTCTCCCTATAAACAAACAAAAAAACCCCCACATCATTAGATTGCCGTAATTTAACTTGTTCTTGCACATTTACACACTCTCTCATGATCTCGATTTCTAGTCTATTGCTTGGCTATAAATTGAGGCAGTGAGTGATAAATTGAGGCACAAGGTGGACAGAGAGAAAAAGAAATTGCATCCCAACCTTCATACTATGTTACTGCTTACAAAGAGGTAGTTTGCTATCCTCACTAATTTAAACCTGTATATATTATAAAAGAAGTTAGCTAAGTATCTCCTTCCTGTTGATATGATAGTGAGTTGGATGGTCAGTTGTACATATATATGTAAGACCATATTTTAATGTTTACCATTCAAATAAAAATTCTTACTATGTAAATGAGAAGGGAAGGGACTGCCTGCTGAGGCCTGGAAGACTCCACTCACTCTGACAGTGTGGCATTTTGCTCCTTGTGGATGCTGGTTCTGATGGCTAAGTAAAAGGAAGGTTTTGGGGTTGTTTTTGATGTGCGTTTTTACTGCCCTTGGGTCAAATTTATTAATTTTCAAATGAATATTCCTTGAATGACACAGCAATCCTTTTGTCTATTTGCTGAACTGAAAAATTTGGTGTTGCTGTGATGCTGCTGTACAATGTTTGGATAAGCTTCCAGACTGATTTATGCTGGGAAGCAGGAGTAGCATCCATTTCCTAAACCACATGCCTCTGGAAACTCTATGAACTTGGTGAAATGACAATAGTTATGGAACGGCATTAGGTCTTTTGTTCAGAGTCGCTATGCTCAACTCAACAGCAATCAACAACAACAAAACAACATCATTATATAAGTAGTGTATGCTTAGAGAAGGTAAATAAGAACACAAATGAGCAATAAAGGAAATAATCCCTTACTCTCAACATGCAGAATCAATGTTTGTCATTACAAAAAATGGTATGAAACAAATAGCTTTGTACACTTTACTAAATAATACCATAGAAAAAATTCTTTGAAATTGAAATTGCTTAGGCAAAGAGCATGTAATATAAACATTTCACTGACTTATTTTAAGATTTTACTGATCCTCAGTTACTCCTGTAGCTTAAAAATAACAATGTATGACTGTAAAGAATGGCTGAAAGAAAAGTTCCCAACAATAGTAGGAACAAGGTGTTAACGTGATTAAGAAGAAAATCCTATCAGCCTGGTTGTCAGAGAATGGAGAGATATACAGGTGTTCTTGAATGTCTTATACAGACAGAGAGGGAAATTATAAAAGTAATCTTAAAAATTAACCAAATAGTAAGAGATGCCTGCTGCTGTCTTGGACATATGACTGGTGAGTAGGTACTGTTTACAATCAAATTTTATTTTTATTTAACAGTACATTAGATTAATTCAGGAATATTAAAATGCAAATTAGGTTTCAGGGAGAGGGAATAACAAAATGACTTAAAAAAGTTAGGTAATAAAAATATTTTTCTTAAAAGAAAAAAAATCCTAATCAATGTCAAACTACAAAATGTGTAATTCTAACAATGCTGTTTCAAAACAATACAACTAGATTTTATTTAAAAATATCATTTAGTACTCATACCATTTTACTCTCCCACCAACAGTGAATAAGGGTTCCAGTTTCTCCACAACTTCGCCAGTTTTATTGTCTGCTGTTCTGTTAAATTTTGCTGTTCTTACTGGGGTGAGATGATATCTCACGATTGTTTTAACCACTATGGAAGGCAGTATGGTGCTTTCGCAAAAAGGTAGAAATACCATTTGACCCAGGAATTTCCCTACTGGGAATATACCCTAAAGAAAACAGAACTGCCACCCAAGTAGATAGATAGATTATATCTATATATATACACATACATACACACACACACACACACACACACACACACACTATGTTTATTGCAGCTTTGTTCACAATAGCAAAGAGCTGGACACAACCTAAGTGCCCATCAACAAACGAATGGATAGAGAAGCTGTGGTATATTCACACAGTGGAATACTGTGCTGCATTGAAAAACAAGGAACTCATGCAATATTATTCAAAATGGGTGACAATGGAGGACATTATGCTGAGTGAAATATCTCAGTCACAAAAAGACAAATACTATATAATGCCACTGTTAAAAAACAGGAATGATATGGGGGTTGGGGAAAACTAAGAAGGGCTAAATAATGTACAAAGCATTGAAAAAGACAAGGGAGAGAACTGTGTAAAAGAAATACACGATTAGGTATTATTTATTGGTATGGCAAAAGTCCAGAGTAAGAGTTGCACAGTAAAGTGGTATAACAATGAAAGAACTTTTGTTCCAAAGAAAAGCAAACTAGGAGGGGAAAGGGGGGGGAGGAAAATGTGCAATAATGAATGAATGGAAATCCAAGTTCTTTATAAGCTTTCATTAAAATCTAAAAAAATAATAAACTACCAAAAAAAAAAGAACTAGGGAAAAATATAATTTATACAGTTAACTACTTTGAATTGTTATTAGATATAATTCATATTAACTGTAAAACAAACCTCTTGCAATAAGTCTTCCACAGAATGGTTGAATCGATCTACAAACTCATCAATCAGCTGACTTCGAGCTATGTCAACTCTGTTCTGGATGGTGTATTCTTCACTGCATAAGATGCTATAGGTTTTACTGCAGGCCTCTAGAACATCTGATTCTACATGTTTCTCCACAACAAACTTGATTTGCTTTAATAAAGCATCCAGATGCTGAGACAGAAAAAAAATAAATTTAGCATATGCTAAATAAAAAACAAACTTATATAATCACATAAAAAGAAAATAATCCAGTTAATAAAACAGTATAATAGTAGAGTTTCAATTTCAGTATGTCTTACCTTTTCCATTCTACCAGTGCTATAGATTTCTAGATCAAAATACTGTGGTATCTGTAGCAAGTTTGCTACCTTCTCTGCATCTGCAGAATACTAGAAGGAAAAGACGCAAGGAGAAAAAAAGTTATTTTGACCAAGAATTCTCAAACTCAATGTTGTATTATCACAAAATACATAAATGAAAGTGTACCTTTGATAACAGCATAGGAAGCGTGATGATAAAATGCTCAGTCAATTTGTTTCTATCATCAATTTGTGTTTTCCTCTCCTTGGCAGTTAGCACCTAACAAAGAAAATGGGCACATGGGTGTCAGGTGCTAATTTGTAAATCTTACGCTGTTACAAAGCATAAAATACCATTTGAGAACTATCAAAGGAGCTTTAGAACCAATTACAAAAATAAGTATATCTCATTTTATTAAAATTTGTATTTAACATGTATATGTTATCAAGCTAGGAAAAGGTGGAGGATCAGAGAGAAGAAGACCCCCAACAAGACGGACTGATGAAGTGACTGTAACTATGGGTCCAGCGTATCAGAGATGGTGACCCTATTCAGTTGGATAGAATCAGGGTTCTATTTTAGTAACTGTAACTTTCTTGAGCTTCACCTTAAACTTGCTGATGAGTAACTAACTGATGGTGTGTTTCACAGTTAGTCTCTGGATTTATTTTGACTGTTGATACTGAGCTTCTCCATTGATTCTTTTCACAGATACACCAATATGATTCCTAAGTAGTCCATCAGGTGAGGTCTATTTGTATAGTCAGCATTTACGTTCTTTAAAAAAGGTACTGGCAATAAATAAATCACTCAATGTACTAAATTCTTTCATGCAATATCCAGCCAAGTCCATTTCAAGTCCTATCAAGTACAAATTTTCCATTCATCAGTCCTTCTTTTCTAACTTTTGCATTCCATTGACTGACTATTATTAATGAACCTTGGTTGTGTGTTTGGTCAACTTCATATTACAAAACTGGTAGACGTTCCCAAGTTCTTCATCTTTCCCTTCAGTGGCTGGTGCATGTATCTAGAAACTGCTTCTTACCCATTCTTCTTTGAATGTGGATGGCAAGTATCATATCACTCACAGCATTTGATTTCAGGATAAATGTTAAAAATATTTTTTTTAACTGTGACACCACTCTTCTTTGTTAGCATAAGAGATCACATGATTGCCTGATCGAAAATGGCCAGACTTGAGAAAGATTAAACAAAAAAAGGGTTGTACACTTCTACTCTCACATTTTCAAGAATGTATCTCAATGTGTTATCTGCCTTTGGTGAATTTTCAGAACCAGAATAAAAATGGTTATGTAAAAAATGTTCGTTCACATTTTATATTTTTTGCTGGCCATTACTGACCTCTTCCTCCCACCAGTGCCACCAATCATCATCATGTCTATGATTTTCATAATTCATTTTTATTACCATAACAAGAATGCTAATAATATAAAGAATTTAGGGTACAAAAAGCCAACCAGCAGATGAAAATTACACTGCTGCCATTTAAATAGGTAGTATGTCTTCAGAGACTATAGTTTTAAGTTCTGAATATAAAAATTCTTAAGGCATTATGCAAGTGAGTCAACTGTAATTAATGTTGTAGCATGAAATGTGATGAATGGGTGAAGGAAAAGCCAGTAAAACTGTAACCTTTCACTCAAAATTAAAACTAAAAGTACTATGTAAATGTAGCAGTACAGGTATTATGAGAGTGGGGAGGATATCCTAATTTTATAAGTTGAATTTAACAGCTATGTAACGATGAAGCACTGTACAGTATATAATTAAGAACTATGAGGTTTATATGAATAAAAATATCTAGAAAAAATTCTGAAAGATAAGAGAGTTAGTCAAATGAAGAATCGTTTTGTGATTTCTTCCTAACAGAACTTACCCGCTTGCCGGTGCCCCTTCCCACTGGGGGATGTGCCTCAGCGGCCTGACGAATCGTACAAACCATCAGCTCTATGAGAGCACTCTCCTGACGGTCCGACATCGCTGCAGGGAGGCAAAACACACGAGTGTAAGGACAAAACGGGAACAAAACTGCATAAAAGCAGCCACAGTAACATTATACAGACCATGTTAAAGGCAGAAGTGAAGAGCTACTATACTTTGCTTTTATATTTTTAGCAGAAGTAACTCATGCTTGTTATAAATCCAATATGAAAGAGACAGAATAAGAGATAACTTCTGATATTTCCCCAATATGTAGCCTCTTCTAATATCATACATTTGAGTTAAATGATTCCAAAATTTTACTGAATTTCCTTCGATATAATTTCAAAGCTCAGATAAGTTCTTTTCTTTTTTTATCAACAAAACCAAGATTTTGAAAACACTAGATTCTGAATCCATTCCAAGTCAATACATAAAAGCTGAATGATTATAAACCAATGCACAATTTATATATACAATAGTGTCAAGATACTACTATATATTACTATATATTATATAATATATACTATATATATATATACACACAGACAATATACTACTAATGGGCTTTAAAATACTTAGATTTTTGACAGGATAAAGTGAATTTAATATCATTAAAATCCACAGAATCAACAGATGTATTTCTGTGGAATAAATTTCCAAAAGCTAGTAAATGTTCAAGGGAAAAATCTTTTTCTCAGCCTATCATAAAGGTTATGACTTTCACAAACCAAACTGCAATCATGACCATGTCTAAGTCCTCAAATACCTGCTAGCACTGGGTGGCCCAAATCCCTCTGCTTTTGGCCAATGTAATAAGAAAGTGAGATTTTGTTCTGTTCTTCCTTCACAACTACTAAGGAAAGCTGATGGCATAGTGTGTAAAAAGTTATTATAGACAAAGTTTGGCAAATTGATTGTACTGGCTGTTTCACAAGACAAAATTAGGCAGTAATTGCTCATTGTTGTTGCTGTAAATTGCCTTCGAGCTGAGCACAACTCATAGCGACCCTACGAACAAAAGGCCTGAAAGCCCCTCTACAACTATATACATTTATCAAAGTTCACTGAGTTTCCGGAGGAATGTTGTTTAGGAAGTGGATGCCACTCCTGCTTCCAAATTGCCCACTAAGATATATAAATACGGATTTAAAATAGGTGCTCTTCTTCCCTAACAATTTACAACCTCAGGAATGGAATGGAGTCAGAAATGAGTCAGAATAAACATTAGTGGCAATGGATTTGATTTATCCATTAACTGTTGTTGGGACTGACTCACAGCAGACCCTCCAGTAAATGGCATAGGAGCAGACTGTCCATCTTTCTCTCACAGAGCAGCTGGTAGATTCAAAATACCTGTGGGTTTTTACCTTTGGGCTCGTACTCAGTTCCTAACTACTTGGCCACCAGAGCTCCCTAGCTATGAATTAGGGAAGAATAGATTCTTTTTTTCTAGAGTAGAATACATTTTCTAACATTATTTTATATAAGTAGACCCCAGAACACTAAATAGACTGTTAAATCAAATCTGCACGTAAATTGGAGCCGTTAGGTCAGCTAGTAGCTAACATTAGTCAAACGTTTCTCTTAGTACACATGGCGCACATTTCTATACATAAATCCTTCTGGATACACTAAAACAGTCTTACTATAACAACATTGTAGCATTTTGAAGAATGTCAGAAAAGCGGTGCCCATTTGTTACTGTGGTAGGTTTGCAAGGACAGGCTGTACATAAACAGAAGTTGGGTTTGTAAACCAGAAAGAAATTATGTTAATCATCCATCATATTAGCTGGGGAGTTCCAGAGGTAGAATTCATAGGGAGCTGAGCGGTTTACACAAAAGCTGGGTGCCTTTGTGAGTTTCCAGGGAGAAAGAAGGGCAGCCTCCTCCTGTTGGGATCCACCGGATCCTGTTGGACCCTGCAGGGGGTCGCTGAGCAGTAATCTGTACATTTGCGAGATCTTCGCTTTTTCAATGATATCCTCTGTTGTCTGACCCTTTACGATACTGTTTGACAATGATAATCATTAAGTTTTATAAAGTCACATCTGTCCCCCCCCCTTTTGTTCTGTTGCTTCTCGCTGACACTGTTTTCTAAGATCTCTTTATTCTGGAAGATTACAGTGACACAGTTTTAATTTTCTTTCAATATATTGTTTTACTTTTATATTTTTAAGTTTGTACACTTTATTTTTGCCAATAGGAGGAGTACAAAGGACAAGCCAGTTCATTCCCATGAGATGAACACGTAATTATTTATTCTTCCCCCACTATTAAGTATATTAGCTTTCTTCCGATGGATTTACATGACATTTTGAAACCCATTTTAAGCTTTCATGTATTGTTAGAACTCTTGCTGCATTTTTAATTTCAGTAATCTATTTGACTATGACTAATTCATATTTTTAAAAATTTCCCTTTTCTATTATTTCTTATAAATTGTTTTTGTAATTTCCATATGCTTATATTTTGCAAATAGGAAAACATAAGCAACTTCTATGTTATGTGTACTCTTAGTGTATGCATAAGTGGTTTATATGATTAACCTGTTCTATCTTAAAAAATTTTGATAGGAACATACACTTACTTTACACACAAGAAAAAGGATTCACAGGGTAAATAACTTTACAAAGTCTCCTGTAATTGAGCCCAGATGTAGATCTAAGAAATCATATTCCAGTGCCTACACTTGTATGCATTAAGCTACCTTGCTTTTTTTTTTTGTACAAGCTTAAAATTCTACCTAAGTGTTTAAACCATTTTGTTTGGTTCTTCATGTCTCACCCTCAAGTCAAAGTCACTACTGTGGATACAATGCACAGCTCGCCCTCCAGCGGGTTCCTGGAGGTTGTAAACCACAGTGGTGGAGATTACTCATCTTTCTCCCTTTGAAGGAACTGATGGATTTAAACTGCTTGCTTGAGCTGACAGGGTAACTCCTTACTACCAGGCCATCAGAGCTCCTTCTAAAGGTGCTCTAAAATACAAAGGAATTCTGACTGGTATTAACAGAAAATTGTATTTGACATTGGGAGAAACTGACATTTGTATAATGTTTTCAGTCAAGACATTACAGCTCTTTTTAACGCTATTTAACAAATATTATAGTTTTAATTCTATTTCTTTACTGAATACATTCATGCATTTTTAAAGTTTAATTCTGAGACTAATTTGAATAACTTGGTTCTTTTTTTAAAGAAAAAAGCCCCAGAAGTCAAGAAAAGTAGCTTTTACTTGGCATGTATATTAAGGGGAAAGAAACAGGAAGGGATAAAAAGGGAGTAGACTGGGAGGATATCAAAGTAGTTCCAACCAAGGCTCAAAGTTGTTTTAACTAGGTAGTATATGTAAGGTCAGTAAAGGCTCCACTTTTCCAGGCACTGCTAAAATCAGTTACTCTTATCTGTTGTTTGGGAAGGTCATTCAAAATTGTCTTTCCTAGCCAAAAAGTTACCTGTTTGTTTTATGCTGAAGTAATTATTATATTAAGGAGAAAGGATACTATGTAGATGGGAGGGAACAGGGCATGTTAGCCTATCCCCAAGAGGACTGGCTATCTACCATTCCACAAGGGGAATAGCCAGTCCATAAATTCTGCTTCCCTAGTGATTTCCATTTTTTCTCCTTTTCACATCCCCTCCCTTATTACTCTTCCTGACATTTATATAGCTCTTATTAGTTATCATTTTATTATTACAATTTTGGTCTTATGCAGTATTTGCCCTTATGAGACTGAATTATTTTACTCCATTTAAGGTGCTGTAGTCTTTTCCATGTTATATAGCATTTTTCAAAATAATTATTCCTTAATGCCACATATTCACACATTCCCCTGTATGAATGTACCACAATTTCTCAATCCACTCATCTGTTGATGGAAATCGAGCTGCTTTCATTTTCTTGTTATTGTAAAGAACACCGCTATGAACACTGGTACACATATTTCCATTTCTGTTTCAGAACAATCTACACAGGGACTGGCTAGTTTTGGCAATAAAGGAAACATCTCTAGTCACAGAGACAGATCTTCTGGTGCCTTTGAGGAGAAAGCAAGACAATGTAAGATGCCCTTACTTCTCCAGCTACATCCATAGCAGCAACACCTATGTCTGAACTGGAGACCTAATGTGAGATGAGACCTGGGATGGGAGAGCCAGTATTGGCAGGACTGGGAACTTTGCTGGACAATTGGGGGGCTCAGAAGCCAATACTGGCAGGACTGAAAACTTGGGAACACTGGCTATAAAGTTGTGAGGATCAAGGTTGAGGTTCCTGTGTGCATATTTTTGTGAGCTCTCTTGACTGTATTTTGTTATTAATCTGTATTATAACCTTCTAACTTCCCCAATCTGTGTGGTCTGTGACCTATAGCATCAAATTTTGGACCTAGCAAATCAATAAGATTGGTGTTGAGATGAGCAGAAAGAGGTACAGGAGCATGGGGGACATGAGTGACCTCACAGGAATTGGTTTTGTGTTGCTGATGATGTTGACAGGGACAGTTCCCCTTTGTGAAGTTGGTAAAGGTCAGAAAAAGCTGTCCCCATGTGTCCCTTGATTTTTTACAGGAAGTCTTCATTGATATAAGGTGACAACTGCTGGAAAGGAACTTAGTAATGGAAAGGATTTTTGTAGTTATGGGAAGGAGGTAAAAACAGAAGGTTCCAGGCGGTTTTTGTTTTTTTTACTACAAAAACTTTTCGTTTTAGGAGAAGCTTTTAGTTGAGCCATGAACTGTTTGGTGAGGGGCTGCTGCAGTTGCTCTATTAAGAGAATGGTCCTCGTGTTATGAGCTCTATTGTGTATTTTGTTTTGGTTGTTCTTTTTTTTAAAAAAAAAGAAAAAATCTTTTATTAAGTCTGCAAATCTTATTTGGGTTTCATTTGATGATTCATAGACATTTTGTTTTAGAACACTAAATGTTGTTGTTATGTGCTATCGAGTCGCTTGCGACTCATAGTGACCCTATGTACAAGAGCCCTAAATGCTGTTCTATCCTGCACCAACCTCACCGTCTCAAACACACTCATCCCCATCACTCCACTCACAGAATCG